CCCTGAGACTGACATGTATCTTTGTGCACAGGGATAATATCAGTGATGGGATGATGACGAGTGACACGGACGTCCTAGCAGACTCTGTCATGAACGCTCTTTGGTTCCCCGAGTCCTACAAGGCTACTCAGGCTCCCGGCAAGGAGCAACCTGAAGAAGAGATTAATGCCGGAAAGCTTGCCAGAGAGTGCGTACACATATCTCTCCATTCTTGACGCGGCGTTCCCGTCCTGACCGACATGCATTTATTTACCTTTCTCCGCTGAATTAGTTTCTGGAGTCGTTGCATCCGCGATGCAAAGCCTGGCTGTCAAAGCCGCTTCAAGGAAACATTGGAACTGTTCTTCGAGGCTGTTAACATTCAAACCATCGCGCGTGATTCGGATGTTATTCCAGACCTTGAGACGTACATTGACGTCCGAAGGGATACTTCCGGTGAGTTCTGTTCCTTCAACTCCTCCCCCCTGTCGATATGCTTGGCCCTGATGCATTATGTCTTCCCCCTGCCATTGATTTAGGTTGCAAACCGTGTTGGGCACTGATCGAGTTAGTCCGAGTCGGCACGCTGTTTTTTGATTTTGTTCTGACCGTGGTGGCCCTTCCCGTTCAACAGATACGCCCTTGACATTGATCTACCCGAGGAGGTTGCGTCGAGTCCTGCCATAAAAGCTCTCAACGAGTATACTAACGACCTCGTTACCTGGTCTAACGTGAGTTCCGGTTTCGCTACTCGCTTCACGGTCGCGATAGCACCCGTACTGATCCCGAACGTTTATCCAGGATATTTTCTCGTACAATGTTGAGCAAGCACGAGGCGACACGCACAACATGATCGTTATCCTCATGGTGCACTATGGGCATACTCTGCAGAGTGCCATGGACTTCGTCGGTGAAAAGTGCAGAAATTGCATCGACAACTTCAAGGCGACGAGGGAGAACCTGCCGTCATGGGGACCTGAAGTTGATGATGTAGTCCAACGTTACGTCAAGGGACTGCAGGATTGGATTGTTGGGTGAGTTTCTCGTCCCGTTTACCCCTTTTCATTCTGTGGCGCTGTTTCCATGTTTCTGATCATCTTATCCAGATCGTTGCACTGGAGCTTCCAAACAACTCGTTACTTTGGCTCGGAAGGCCAGGCTGTGAAGAACACGAGATATGTTAAGCTTCTTCCCGTCAGGGAGGATGCTAAGTGGTAAACCACATCCGCTCGCATCGACTTGACGACCTTTAATCACGATTGCTTCCCCTGTCACCCTCCATCATCAACTTTGCTCATACTGTATCCATATATTCCATCTCTCTCACCTTCGGTTTCCTTCTCTCTGGTCTGCTCATAATTTTCACAATATACTCGCCCGTATATATAAATACATACTTTCGATCTTCTATCTAGTGCTGTATTTCTTTTGTTTATCAGATGTTTCGACTGTCTACCTAATGGCTATCGCACTCTGTATCAGTTATTCGTCTTCCTTACTCCTCACTTATGGCTTCACGTATTATGCCTTGACTAGTTAGAGTAGACTCGATATGATTTATGATTTAGCTATTAGGATCTCAAATATGCCCCTCTTCGGAGTTTTCAATCATGACCCATGCCCCATGTCACGCCTTGCACCTCCCGAGTCCCCAGTGCGTCCTCTCCGCAAATTAAAGCAAGGCTCCTGAGTAATTCCAGTTCTGACAGGTTCTGAGCAGCACCTATCCTCTTCCAAGCATGACGCAGAGGGGTCTGTCCACGGCAAATGATGCACAAAATAAAAACGCAAGAAAATACAATCTGGTAAGACAGAGATTTGAACTCTGGCGGGGTTTCCCCCATGAGAAGAGAAGCCTCGTGTTTCGGAAGCTTGAGTCACACGCCTTAACCGCTCGGCCATCTTACCATTGGAAGTGCGGAGTAGGTCTCCCGCGTCGTCACGGAGGTATGTATTTGGGGACTCGGAGTCGATCACCCCCAAGACTTGAACAGCAATTTTCGTCCATTCGAGAAATAGCGGCGAGTACGTACAGGTTCAGTACATTACCGGCGCGGAGCGCTGCCATCGGCCTGGAAACGACCTTGACCCAACTACAATCCGTCATTCAACTCCGCGACGGAGGACTTTATCGGTACTTTATGGCCGCTGGTTCGCACTTGGACTTTGCAAGAATATGGCGCAGGTCGACTATAAAAGCGAATCAGTCATAACTCGAAGTGAACGGAGAAGCACCATCACATACTTCTGGAGCGTAGAGAGAAACTCTCCGGTAGGCACGATCTCATTCCCGTCCTCATCCAATGCCTTCGAAATCCGAAAACACTGAAGTACGGAAGCGATTATCGCGAACGTGGAGGATATCGCAAAGTGGCGGCCTGGGCAGATCCTAGGATTGGGGCAAGAACGATCCCGTCGGTTGCTTGGATTGACTGCGGAATGAACCACGCCTACTCACCGCCTGCCAAAGCCGAATCCTGCGAGAGGTTCTGGAACTCGGGTGTTGATCAAGCCTTCTTCTGTCAGAAAACGTTCGGGAATAAACTCGTAGGTGTCAGGCCCATAGGTCGACTCGTCATGTAACAATGCCCTTGAAGCCGCGTCAAGGCTCTTGATGACACAGGAGGGGGAGACTGACACTATGCATCATGGGTTGAACTTACCAAGCGTTACCGAATATCACAGACTTCTTCGGGATGCGATAACCTTTGTACTCGTCGTCTTCAGTGACGAGATGAGCTAAGCCTGAAACGCAGGTCTGTCATTGGCACTCCCGGCACCGAGCAAACTGCATCGCTGGTCTCAATGCTACGCACAAAGAGGGTTCACAGGCTGCCATCTGCGACGGTAACCATCAACTGAGAGACAAGAAATTAATATAAGAAGAGGAGAAACCTTAGAAGCTCATACACAACGGCCATAATGTATGGTAGGTGATCCCCGTCTTTGAATTTGGGGAGCCTTGACGTCCCGATGACTCGATCGATTTCCTCTTGTGCCTTATTCTGGATATCCGGGTTGCACAATATTGCTAGGAAAAAGGTCTCCCACAAGCATAATGTGGTATCGGTTCCAGCTTGGAAAGGGAAAGGTTCATCTTTGCTACTGCCTTCGGGAGGGTAATTGCTTACCCGCGTACACCGCCCCAGCGGATTCTCGTATCAGCTGCTCATCGTAGCCACTACCAGAATCGTTATTCTGATTCAAGCAGTGGGTTACAAAGCACGCAGGCACGTAGTCCTCGCCTGTCTGTGAGTCATGGAGAGGGGGGGAATAAGTATTCGCTCAACGATAAAGGTGTTTTCGATGGCAGGAAGTCTCACCATCCTCGTTTTCAAAAGATCGTACCGCTCGTTCAACACCTCCAGCACGTCCTCCCGCCATTCTCTAGCCTTTCGTTGGAAACCGGCACCGGGAACCCAGGGTGGGATGTATTTGAGCAAAGGCACGTAGTCCTATTTGGTATTGTGAGCACCGAAGATTCGTCTGAGCTCGGAAGCGAAAGACTCATATACTCACAACCCAAAATGTCCCTGGTATGGTGCTCAAGACGAAGGACGAAAGGGCCTTCTCAGCTTTGGCTATGACAGGGTCGATTGCCGCGCTTGCTAGGCTCGGTGCGATCCCGTATGTTATATCCTGGATGGACGAGGACGCCATGCTACGAAGGTCAGAGGTTCGTCACAAAACTCTTTAGTCACCGGATAGGGGGAAACTTCACGACTAACTGTCGGAGCAAGTGATAAGAATCCTCCGGGTCGTGCAGCAGGGAGTTCAGAGAGAACCGAAGGGAGGCTGCGTGTTGAGGTTCGTATTTATCGCTTTGCTTCAGATTGAATTCTACAGTCAAGAGGTGAGGGTAACAAGTTGAAAGTCATAATGTCAGGAGTATGGTCACTGAGGCACCTTGTGCAACGGGTTTTCGAAGCTCCTTCCACCGCTTACCATAGGGCATCAATGTGAAGCTCCAATCCCATCTCGAGGAGAATGTAAGGAAAATTATCGCGCATCACAAAAGTGAGAAAAACTACCAACCCGATCCTAGGAGCCATCGGCGATGGTGATGATCGTCAGAACCAGCGATAGGGATCAACTGAAGCATAGGGTACTCACAGTTCGTTCGTCATGATCATCCTCGGTCTGGGAAAGGTGAATTAGAAACCTGAAGTATACCGAGCAAAGTGCGAAGGGACAGCACCTGCTTGAGTAGATACCAGACTTTCTCTCGAGCAAGTCGTTCACTGCCTGTTAAGAATTGAGGATGATGGTCGAAGTCCCGGCAAATTCGTGATACAAAATATCAGAATCTAAGGATTAGTGATGGTCAGCAGTCGGAATCATAGGAAAATCATAGTACAGCAAGAATGGCGGCGTACTGTATTTTCTACCCCATTTCACATACTCTTCCCATTCATGTCGTACAGGGATATCAAAAAAATTGCCTTTAAATAGATCAGAATCGTGAGACCTCCCATTTCAACTCAAATGAATACGAACCTAGCAATGGAAGTCGTAGAGGGCCTGGTGGAAGGGGCGGTTGTCGTTTTCGTCAAATGATCACGAAGAAAGATAAGACTATGAAGTTCTTCATTACGCTGTAGGAGAATGGATGAGCTGGAACTGGAGCTGAAGACTTAAATACAGAAGCCCCCCGTTCTAAAACCACGAATGACCACATATGCCATGGTAAAGGTCTCGTGGCCCGTACAAGTACGCAAAGGACTTCTCGACTTCTGAGTTTTTGTCTTTCCAACATTAGATCAGCTGAGGTAGGAAGGCTGCCTGGCTATAGGAGAGACAGGCTATTGTATAGCATATACTTGTCGTTTGGTGCCTTTTGAAGACCATTCTAGTTGAAAGGACGCGATAAGAAAGTTGTGGCTGTGGTGAAAGAACTAACTGCATTTGATTCCCACGATCGGCTGCCTTCAAGTTCGAACCGGCACGATCCATTCACTTCTGTTTCTCGTTATTTTTACGATCTCACTGCAGTCTACGAGCACGGAATAAAAAGAACATTCTGGTAAGACAGAGATCTGAACTCTGGCGGGGTTTCCCCCATGAGAAGAGGAAGCTTCGTGTTTCGGAAGCTTGAGTCACACGCCTTAACCGCTCGTCCATCTTACCATTGGATCTTTTGGGAGTGAAGATAGCCTCTCCTGCGTCATCAAGGAGGCAACGATCGTCCCCCAAGGCAGTAATTCTCTTATACCCGAGAGATTAACGACGCCGAGCATGTACGAGCTAGTACTAACCATACTGGGGTAGTAAAACGCCACTGGGTATCGGCCTAAAAACCACCTTGACCCAACTCGGCGTCTAAACCCACGACCGAGGACTCTATCAGTAATCATGTTCGGGAGACCGTGCTTCAATCCTGCAAGAATATGGCGCAGGTCGACTAACAGTAGTACAGGAGATCAGTTGCACCCTGAGGTGAAGAGAGAACCAAACACATACTTCTGAAGGGTAGAAACAAATTCCCCAGTAGGCCCAATCTCGTTCCCATCCTCATCCAACACCTTCGAGATCCGGAAACACTGAAGCACAGAAACGATCACCGCGAACATGGATGATATCGCAAAGTGGCGGCCTGGGCAAACCCTAAGTACGATAGTACGGGGGGAGGGGGGGGTGGTTCAATCTGTACTACAAGTGAATAGAATGTTCCAAGGCTCACCGCCTGCCAAACCCAAACCCTGCGAGAGGCTCTGGGACATGGGCATTAATCAAGCCATCTTCCGTCAGAAAACGCTCAGGGATGAACGCGTAGGTATTAGGCCCATAAGTCGACTCGTCATGTAACAGTGCCCTTGAAACCGCGTCACTCTTGGCGATGCAATGCAAGAAAAGGCCATGGCTCGGACTCACCAAGCGTTACCAAAGACGACCGAATCCTTCGGAATTCGATAACCCTTGTATTCATTTTCCTCCGTAACCAGATGAGGTAGGCCTAAAAGTTAAAACGCAGTCGGATCTGTCGTTAGGACTCCCGGGCCCGCGGAAGTCGCACTACGCACAGAGAGGGTTCACAGGCTGCCATCTACAACGGTTACCATGATCAACGGGGTGATAGGATATTAGAATAACAAGAGGACTAACCTTAGAACTTCGTATACAATCGCCATAACGTATGGTAGGTGATCCCGATCATTGAACTCGGGGAGCCTTGACGCTCCGATGACCCGATCAATTTCTTCTTGTGCTTTGGTCTGGACATCCGGGTTGCACAACATTGCTAAGAAGAAAGTCTCCCACGCGCATAACGTCGTATCGGTTCCAGCTAAGGGAGAAGGTTCAGCTTGCTTGTGTCTGAGGAGGTTAATTCCTTACCCATGTACACCGCCCCAGCTGATTCCCGTATGAGCTGCTCGTCGTAACCAGAATCATCATTCGAACAGTGGGTCACAAAACACGCGGGCACATAGTCCTCGTCTGCCTGTAGCCAGAATCAAGGGATCCGCTCGATAATCGGTCCTTGAAGACCTTACAATTCACTCACCATCTTCCTTTTCAAAAGATCGTACCGCTCATTTAACATGTCCGTCACGTCCTTCCGCCATTCTTTAGCTTTGCGTCGGAAACCGGCGCAAGGAAACCAAGGAGGGATGAATTTGAGCAAGGGCATGTAATCCTGTTGGATGTCCCTTGGTTGAACGCAGAGTCCTCGAACCAACGTCACGGTTCAACTCACAACCCAAAACGATCCTGGTATCCCACTCAGAATCAAGGACCAAAGGGCCCTCTCGGCTGTAGCTACGACGGGATCGATCGTCGCGGTTGCTGGTTTCGGGGAGATTCCGTATGCGATAGATTGGATGGTCGAGGACGCCATACTTATTTCGTGCGGAGAAGAGACTCATCAGCCAGAGAATATTTCGCAGCCACCTGGCGGTCGAGAATGAAGTATGTACTGACTGTCGGAGTAGATGGTAAAATCGTCCGGATCGTGCAACAAAGAGTTGAGGAACAACCGTAGGGAGGCCGCATGTTGGGGTTCGTATCTTTCGTATTGTTTAGCATTGAATTCTAGAGAGTTGATGGAAGTGAGTGAGGGATGTTGGGAGTACGACTGAAGTACTACTACCTTGTGCGACGGGTTTCCTGAGGTCCTTCCATCGCTTACCGTACGGCATTGTTACGAGGTTCCAGTCCCATCTTAAGGAGGAGCCACTAGATAAGTACACTGTATCCCGACGAGTTGGAGAACAGGGAAGCGACCAACCCGACCCTATAGACCATACCGTCAGAATTGGCAAAGATTGTTACCTTGAATACTTACAGCTCATTCGCCATGACCATCCTCGGTCTGGAAAAACTCAATCGAAAGCCTTCGGGGATACCAAAGCAGTGATTCCTACCTGCTCGAGTAAATGGTAGACCTCTTCTCAAGCAGATCATTCACAGCCTCTTGAGAATTAAGAATGACAGTCGAGGCACCAGCAAATTCGTGGTACAAGATATCAGAATCTATGCAGCAAGCAGTAATCAGGGGCCAGAGGAAATCTCGGGTCTGAACACAAGAGCTCGTACCGTATTTTCTACCCCACTTCATATACTCTTCCCATTCTTTTTGTACGGGGATGTCGAAAAAGTTGCCTTTAATCAAGTTCAAGTGGGGTGAGCACTAAGATTGGCCTCACTGGCACAACGAAAAAAGTTACAAACCTAGGACTGGAAGTGGTCGAGGTCCTGGAGGAAGCGGCGTTTTGCGTTTCCGGTGAACGACGACGACGAAAGATAAGGCTATGCTGAGGCCCAGAACACACGCAACTTCGTTCCTCATATCTGAGAGGAATCAGTAGTAGCTTGACCTTGAACCGAAGAGTTCTGTCCATCTTATATAGCTCTGAGCCTGGCCACCTTTGCCCCGAATAATCAAACATGGTAGACGCCAGTACCGTACTAAATGAACGATAGGAGCCGATGCGCGCGACCAAGTTGGCGTTCCATGATGCAGCTGTGTTTCTCTAGCTCTGCCAGTGCGTGATGAACCGGATAGGTCGTAATCGACGATAAACAGACCCGATATAAGATCGATGACGAAGAGGAGGAAGGGAGGTCGTGAAGCTCTGACTGCACAGACGCGATAAGACCACCATGGAGGTCGCGGTGAAAGAACCGCCTGCACACGGTTCCCACGTTCAACTTCCTTGTTCGAACATTCGTCCACTTCCGTTTTGCGATTCTACTGTATGTAAGTGTTGCACGAAAATACAGAACGAAAAAAAGAACAGTTCCTGGTAAGACAGAGATTTGAACTCTGGCGGGGTTTCCCCCATGAGAAGAGAAAGTTTCGTGTTTCAGAAACTTGAGTCACACGGCTTAACCGCTCGGCCATCTTACCATCGAAAAAGGGCGGGGAGCTAGTCGGGGTGAGCCAACTTCCGTCGTACACAGACGTAACAAAACAGCGCATTGAGATTGCAAATAATGATTAGAAACTACAAATACAATACTGATATCATGGTGCTAGAAACTCAACTTTTAATTACACACATACATAATTTGTTTCGAGGTCCGTTTTCCTCGCTTTCTTTGCTCGACGAGGTATCATGGTTCACTGCTGGAACCATCAACTTAGTCTTTCTTTTCTTCCTTCTCTTCCTTCTCCACCTTCTTCTTCAGCATAACGAAAGCGTCCCCGGCATCATCCAACACAGATCCAACGGGTCCCTTGACGGTGCCCTCATTTTCTTTCAGCAGCTCCCTCCTCTGCTCTCGAATCAACTCCAAATCGTGCGAGATGAAGCCATGGCCGGCGACTGGTCCGTAGTAGGAGGTTCCGGCTAGTGAGCCGATGATGCTATTGACGCAATATTCAGCACAGGCTATGATGACAGACATCCAGTCACCACTCACCAAGTTCCAACGAGGATGGAAAGATAGAAACGGTATTGGGAGTACCATTTCGGAGCTGCGTGGCGGATACATCAAACGATTAGCTAACGTGTCCAATTGTGAAATGCTGCAAAACAACTCACTCCAACCCAAGTTGGTAGCCCTCGAGTCAGCCCACCAAATGCTCGTAAACCCTACCCACTGCATCAACAACGCCGTCATCGGCTGGAAGGCCAACGTAGGCCACGCGAAGATAACGGGCGCAGCACCCAACGCAAGCCGCTTATAACCCTGGTGCCCACCGAGCCCGGCGAATTCCATTCCCCAGTGCATTGCGCCTAGGAAGGAAAGCATGACCGCACCGTAAGTGACCTGCACGTTCAGCGCTTGGTCGAGAATCGTGAGAGCAACTCCGGGATCCATGTTGATAGCTACACCGCTAGCTGCGAGACCTGCTTCGTAGGCGAGGTAGACGGTTGTTGCTGAAGCGCCGACGTATGGAAGGGTTCCCGCTAATCCAAAGACCATGGCTTCCTTGGGAACTTCTGAGGCGATCGTTCCGGTGATTCCGAGCTGAAAGCGGTTGGGTTATTAGATCGTGCTTTTAGAGAGTGCCCTTGTCAATCGACTCACGAAAGAGTTTTTCTTCGTGTCAATCGTGTCTGTGGTCATGTTCGCCCCGGCGATGACTTTGGCGATATCAGAAGCGGTGTTCCCAGTTTCCTCCTTGATATTGAGAGCAGCCTGCTCGAACGTCTGACTAGCAGGACGATTCGAAACAGTGCTTGCGACTGTTCGTTTGTTGAAGAAGGTTGAACGCAAGAGAGCGGTTGGCACGGGCCGTGCAATGGACACCGGCTGGTGCAGAGTGCGCAGAGCGAAAGGTTTGAGGGTGGAACGAGTCAAGGGACGTAGGAAGGACATGGTAGTGGTGGTGGGTTTATTCTGAGCTTTACTCAGCTGAACACGGGGGAGGTTCTTATAAGTGGGAAGGCTGAGGGGCTCATGATGTCACTTATTAGACAATCTGACCTAGTGGTAATTTTAGAGCGGGGGATCGAATATTCGCTGTGTATTGGGAGAATATGGAGACCCTACGTCATGCGAACTCTGGCTGACAGAACATTTCGCCACTCACACTTGCAGCCCGTTGGAGGGAGATCGGCCGCATAGAAACCGAAGAAGGTATGTCGTTATTCGCAACGCCGAGTGGCTTATCTTGAGTATTTTAGGAAGATTTTTGTAGAATGATTGTAAAGAGCCTGTTCTGCGCGTAAATGAATCGC